AGCAGCAGCAGTCGCCGCAGCCGCAGCCTTCGCAGCAGCCGCAGCAGCCGCCGCAGACGAGGCAGGCGAGTACTCTCCCACCTGGGTGGCCAGGAGCTGGTGGTGGTCGTGCGCGTGGTGGTGCACCGGGTGGTGGTTCTGGAGGCGGGCCCTGTCAGTACCAGATCCAGACCGGTCCTCGCCGCGGCTTCGTTTGCGGTAAGATCGGTCATTCTACTCCTCGCTGTTTTCGTCGCCTGGACGACCTGTTCCGCCAGCGCTTTGGCCCGGCGCCCGACCTCCCGGACTGGCACAGCTTGCTTAGGCGTAGCATTAGGATTTTTGACTTGGACATGGATGCCATTGTAGCGGCCTTGCATGTGATGTATGCTGATGACTCTAGTGTGCTTCCCTCTTATTACCCCGTGTTGCCTAGTGTAGCGGTGCCTAGCGTAGACTCCCCTGCTGCGTCAGGCGTAGGATCTCCTGCTTTGCTTAGCCTTGGTGCTTCCACCGCTTCACTGCTGCCTCGCGCGACTGCTGCGCTTTCCTTCACCTTGGACTCTGGCGCCTCCCGGTGTTTCTTCCGCGACTCCACGACGCTGACGCCGCTGCCTGTTCCCGCTGCAGTTACTCTTGCTGACCCCTCCGGTGGTCCCGTCGTTGCCCGCAGTTCCACCTCCCTTCCCTGTCCGGCGGTTCCTTCGGGCACTCTCACAGGTCTGCATATCCCCTCGTTCTCCAGGAACCTAGTTGGTGTCGGCTGCCTCCAGGACCTTGGCGTCACCACTACGTTCCCTGGTCACGAGCGGTATGCTGTCTGTACCGAGGCCGCCACTGGTGCCCCCCTTACCACTTTCCCCCGGGACCCGGTGTCCGGCCTGTTCACACTTGACACCGCGCCGTCCCCGGCTGGGTCTTCCCCCCCGGTAGTTGCGTCCACCCAGGTTGCAGCCGCGTACTCCTGTCGGTCCCTCACTCACCCGACTCTCCTTTGGCACCACCGCCTTGGTCACCCTGCACTCCCACGTCTGCGTCACATGTCCCAGCACGGTCTCGTCCTTGGTCTCCCCGGTTCGTTCCCCGAGTTTCCCTCCTCCCCCGCCCCACCGTGCACGCCTTGTGTCGAGGGCCGGCTCCGCCGTGCCCCTCACTCCTCCTCTTTTCCCCCTACCACCGCACCACTGCAGACTCTGCACATGGACGTCTGGGGCCCAGCCCCGGTCCATGGGCCGCGTCGCGAGCGCTTCTTCCTAGTGCTTGTCGACGACTTCACGCGCTACACCACCGTCTTCCCCCTGGAGCGGAAGGCCGACGTGCCTGACGTTCTCATCCCCTGGCTTGTCTCTGCTCGTGTCCACCGCGGTCTCCCTGCCTTGCGCCTTCACTCCGACCGGGGTGGCGAGTTTGCCTCAGGTGTCCTTGGTCGCTTCTGTCGTGCGGAGGGCATCACCCAGACGTTTACCCTGCCGGACTCCCCGCAGCAGAATGGGGTCGCTGAGCGACGCATCGGTTTGGTCATGGAGGTGGCTCGCACCTCCATGATCCACGCCGGTGCACCCCATTTTCTGTGGCCGTTCGCCGTGCGCTACGCCGCTCACCAGCTTAACCTGTGGCCGCACCCCCAGCGGCCGCAGGTTTCGCCGACCCTTCTGTGGACCGGGTCCCCTGGTGACGCGTCTGCGTTCCGCGTCTGGGGCTGCCTTGCTCACGTTCGTGCCTCTGGCACGGACAAGCTCACTGCCCGCACCCTCCCCTGCGTCTTCCTCGGTTTCCCCCTTGACGCGTCCGACTGGCACTTCTACCACCCGCCGTCTCACCGCTTCTTTCACTCTCGCGACGTCACCTTTGACGAGTCCGTCTCCTTCTACCGCCGCTTTCCCCACCGTGGTCCCCCGGTTACTCCCCCCCTTTTCCTGGTTCCTCCCTCCCTGGTGGTCCCTGCCCCTCCCCCCCCCCGCCCCCCCGTCCGGCCCCCTCTGGTGTGTCTCACGTCACCCCCCTCCCGTCGGTCGTCCCGGTCGACGAGTCTTCTGACTCTGGTAGTCCTCCGGCGCAGTCCTCGCCGTCTGTCCCTCCCCCGGTGTCTCCTCCTCCACCGCCTCCGCAGCCGCCGTCGCCGCAGCTGCTGCAGCCGTCGTCTCCACCGCCGCCGCCGTTGCAGCCGTCGTCTCCGCCGCCGCCGCCGTCGCAGCCGTCGCTGCAGCCGCCGCCGCCGCCGCCGCTGTCGTCGCTGCCGCCGTTTGTGGACTCTGGGGGTGTCCCTTCTGGGGGTGCAGGTGTGGAGGGTTCGGGAGGTAGCCGTCGCGCAGCTTGTGGCCCTGGTGTTGGTGTTGTGTCGCCGCAGCAGCAGTCCCCGCCTGTGTCCGCCCTCCGTCTGCTCGGCCTTCCGTCTCCTGACCCTGCGCCTGTTCCTCTCCTGCCGTCTCCCCCTCTTCCCGTCTACGGCCCCGTGTTCCCTCTGCCAGACTCGTCCCCGGCTCGTCTTCCCCCTCGTTCCCCTCCTGTGTCCCCTCCTCTGTCTCCTGACCCGACGCCGCCCTCACACGTCTGGTCTCGCCGCCCCTCTCGTGCTCGTCCTGTCTCCCCTGTCCCGCGCTCTCACCCTATGTAGCTCCGTTCCCACGCGTCTCGACCTCCCCTCCTCCCGTCTCCTCCTCCGTCTTCTCTTGTCGTTGCGTCTCCTCCTCTGTCCGACTCCTTTCGTGCCGCTCGTCCTCTTGTTCCTGGGGTCCTTGCCTCTCTCGTTACCGACCCGTCTGTTCCCGTGTCGAGTCTTGACGCCCTCGTCGCTGCGGTCGCTGACTTCGCCTCTACCCGCCGCCTTGACTACGCTACCGCTCTGGTCTCCGACCCTGCCTGTCCTCCGTCTGTCGGGGGTGCTCCTGCCCTCGGCAGTGACGTCCTGGAGGACCGCCAGTTTGAGCTTGCTTTCCTGTCCGAGGCTGCTCCCCATCTCTGTTCCATGCTGCTAGTCCCTGAGGGCGACCCAGACGCTTTCGACATCCCGACCCCTCGTACTTACGCTGAGGCGGTTTCGGGACCCTGGGCCTCTCAGTGGATAGCTGCCATGGAGCAGGAGATGGCATCTTGGAGATCCACCGGCACCTTCGTCGACGCAGTTCCCCCACCTGGGGTGAACGTGGTCGATGGCCGTTGGCTCTTCAAGGTGAAGCGCCCTCCTGGAGAGCCGCCTGTGTTCAAGGCGCGCTACGTGGCTAGAGGCTTCAGTCAGCGCGAGGGGGTGGACTTCTTTCAGACTTTCGCTCCTACCCCGAAGATGACTACTCTTCGGGTGCTGCTACACGTAGCGGCTCAGCGTGACTACGAGCTTCACTCCCTCGACTTCTCCACTGCCTTTCTTCAGGGCAGCCTTCACGAGCAGGTCTACCTGCGTCGCCCTCAGGGCTTTACTGGCACCTTCCCCCCTGGGACCCAGTGGCTTCTGCGGCGGCCAGTCTACGGCCTGCGCCAGGCGCCTCGTGAGTGGCACGACACTTTGCGTGCTACCCTTGCTGACCTGCAGTTCTTTCCGTCCTCTGCAGACCCCTCGCTCTTCGTTCGTGCTGGCTCGACTCCGTTCTACATCCTCGTCTACGTAGACGACCTGGTCTTTGCCACTGCTGACAGGGACGCACTGGCCTCCGTGAAGGCAGAGCTGCTGAAGAGACACACCTGCACTGACCTTGGAGAGCTGCGCCGTTACCTTGGCTTGCAGATCTCTAGGGACAGAGCAGCGCGCACCATCACCCTGACTCAGTCACACTTGGTGCGCCAGGTCCTTCAGAGGTTCGGCCTTCAGTTCTCCTCCGCACAGCCCACCCCTCTTCCTCTGGACCACAGACTCTCCGCTCCAGTTCCTGAGGAGTCGGTAGATCCCAGTGGTCCTTACGCTGAGCTAGTGGGTTGCCTCATGTACCTGATGACTTGCACTCGCCCAGATCTCGCATACCCTCTCAGCATCCTGGCTCGTTTCGTGGCCACAGGCAGGCACCGACCTCAGCACTGGTCTGCCGCTAAGAGGGTTTTGCGTTATCTTGCAAGTACATCGGGCATGGGGTTAGTGCTAGGCGGACGCAGGCCAGTGGTCCTTACTGGACACACAGACGCTTCTTGGGCAGACGACGCCGAGACGCTCAGGTCTTCCCAGGGCTACTGCTTTAGCCTTGGTTCAGGTGCTGTCTCGTGGAGAGCTACCCGCTCTTCGTCTGTTGCCCAGTCCAGCTGTGAGGCCGAGATCTACGCCGGTGCCATGGCGGCACAGGAGCTCCGCTGGCTGACCTTCTTGCTCACTGACTTAGGTGAGCGGCCTAGCTCTGCCCCGGTCCTGTACGCTGACAACAGGGCCATGATTCTCCTGTGTCAGGAGCCTCGACTCGAGGGCAGAGCGAAGCACATCCAGCTGCGGTACTTCCTCCTGCGTGAGCTACAGCAGCGTCGCCAGGCTCGCGTAGTACACTTAGCCTCCGGTGCCAACACAGCTGATATCTTTACGAAGGCGCTTGCGCCTAAAGATCATCAGCGGCACTGTGTGCAGCTTGGTCTGGTTCCTGTAGTCTCTCACTTACTCGGGCCTTGACTCTGTACTGTCCTATATATCTGTGTGTACACTCAGACTGGACTTGTGTCCTCTTACAGTGGTTGGACTAGTAGTGCCGCCCTGTACTAGTTCTTGCCTTGCCTGTACTCCTTCTGACTGGTCTTTTAGACCCTTGTCTCAGAGGCTGGACTAGTAGTGCCACCCTGAGCTGCTTGTCTAGAACATTCCCCTATGCAGTCCAGGGGGTGTGTCAAACATGTTTAGTTATCATGCTTGTATAGACTGTATAGGGTCATCTTCTAGAGAGTACAACAGTTAGGTATATGTTTGTGTACTCTCTGTCTCTATTCATCAATTTCACTGTTTGATAGTGCCACCCTGAGTTGCGAATTTATTGCTCAGCATTGCCCCTTATCTAGCCTAGGGGGTGTGTCAACTTATACATATGTTTATATGTATAAGTTATAGGCTAGATAGGTTTGTGTTCATAAACAATAATATACAAGACCAGGTTCTAGACGCATGCCACTTTAGGGCAGTCTAGTTACTCTGGTGCCAGCCACAGCTGCTACTGCACTACAGCAGACCTATTTCCTAGAGAAAGAGACACCTAGAACTGCCTCAGCACGCTGCTCATTCTGCGGAGAGTAACCCAGCTGCTAGAACCCGAAATTCTCCGCCTGGCACCAAATCTACCAATGTCAACCGAGATGCCTGATGCTGCCAGTGCCTCCCTCTCCTCCTCCTCCGCCTCATCCAGGTACAGCTGGTTCATGTAGCACATATTCCCTGAACCAAAAGCCTTGAGGCCATGACTGCTACTGCCACACTCCCCCTCCCCCTCCTCCTCCTCATCATCCTCCCCAAACAGCTGGTTTGAGAAAGTACTCCCAGCCTCCGCCTTCCCAAACCTCTTCACCTCCATGCACCATCCCTTCCCACTGCTGGAAATGCCTCGGCCAATTCCCCTCTTCACAGCAGCTAACTCCGTGACCAATCCATTGGGAGTGATGCAGAGGCTATTAGCAGAGGAGGAGGAGCAAAGGCTGTGAGCAGAGGAGGAGGAGCAGGAGTCCCAGGCGAGGTCAATGAGGCACGCACTGTGGCTGCTGCAGCTGCTCTCACTGCGACTCATGCTGCTCCACCCGCTGCTCGCCTCTGCTCCCACCTTCACACCCTGCTGTGCCTCCTCCGACTCTGATTTCCCACTCAACCAGGCAGCAACCTTAACCGAGGTACGAGTAGTCGCAGAAGGAAGAGAAGCAACCACGTTCTCTGGCTCTGCAACCGCAAAAGAAGAAGCTTCCTCCTCCGGTTTCTCCACTTCCTCTGCTTCGTCAGTGTCAAGCGAAACGGTAGCAGTCACAATTGCAACATCCGCCTTGCCAGCCTCAGTCGGATCGTTGACGGTTTCTGGCTCTGCATCAGCAGACGCCGCTTCGACCAGAAGAGCGATGACTGGTAGGGTGACAGCATGAAGAGCGGGAACCGGCTGCACTTCGACTGCAGCTTGCTTGCCCGACCTAATCCAACGGACGACGGCCTGCATGAGAAAGTAAAACACAAGTTAGTTGCTGGTTCGGCAAAGGGATTGAAAGCCTAAAACGATTTACAAATCGTTAAAAAAATGTGCTGGAAAAAGAAAAGGGCGAAAGGAATGTGCTGAAGCGAAATTCGGCTTGTATGGAGCTACGAACAGCTGAAGGCTTTAGGGAGTTGGCTCTTACCAGGCGAGGAGCAGAGATCATGCTGCAGACGAAGCGAGTCAGGGAGGCATCTTGCTCCCAGCAGCTCGAGAACAGAGCATCGACGTCCACGCAGGCACGCTCAGCACCGACGCAAGCCATGTCGTTAACGGGGTAGAAGCGAATGCTGATTCGTGTAGAGCTCGTGTGCTGGTAATAGACAGCTGGTAACGAAAGGCTTCAGGAATAACCGGCAGGAAACTCGAAGGTAAGGTAGGAGGATGTAGGAAGTAGCTTCAGTCGAGACTGATGAATGAAAGGGAAGCCCCTGGTCTATTTATACTATTTCCACTTGGTGGGACCAGGGACTTCGATGAGCGTCTGCTGAGAACCGAATGAGAGAATGTCTGGGAATGCGACGAGAGGCACGGGGTTGGGAGGGAGCCAGAGGGTGCGAGGCAAGCAGGGGAACCCAATGGCCGCTGCTGGTCGAATTCGCGTCGCCGGTGGGGTGGGCTGGCGAGGGTTTGCGATGATCGGAGCCCATGGCGACGTCGTCGGCTGGCCTTGGGGGCCCTGGGGGTGTCGCCCGAGTGTTCCCGATATACTAGCGGCGATTCAAAATGCGACACCCGTGCTATATGTGCCAGCGAGGGCTGATCTGGGAGCGCGTTGTGCTGTAGGGTCCGCCGCAATCGGGAATACCTAGTGCGAGACGAGATTTGGAAAGGCAGGAAAGAATCAGGTTTGGAAGCCGACGACACTTTCGGCACACGCGGTATGGTACCCATACCTCTAGCCGAGGCTGAGCTACGGAACTGCAAGATCTCGGGATGTTGAACATGTGGCCCTGGGATACCAAACCAGGTATGGTTGTGAGGTTTGGTATCGGAGTTCACGGAGGGTGGACAGCGAGAAAATCGAGAATCTGTATGCGCTAGGGGCGATCTCCGAAACACAATGCACTGCCAAGAGAAAATTTGCATGCGTAACATACCAAGCTTTGTACATTAAAGCCGTTGACCCAAAACGTGCAAGATTAATAAACATGATAGTGTCAAACATGTGTGTATTTGTCATGTTTGTATAGACTGTATAGGGTCACTTCTTAGAGGGTACAACACTTAGGTATATTTGTGTGTACTCTCACTTTACCATAATTAAAATTCTAATTCTGATATGGTATCACGCGTAGGTAGGATCCCCCCCACCTACCGCTTCCGCTCATCCCCCCCTGGCCCTGTAGCGCCCCTCCCAGGCCCCGTCGCACCCCTCCCAGGCCCCGTCGCGCCCCTCCCAGGCCCTCTAGCGCCCCTCCTGGGCCCCGTCGCGCTCCTCCCAGGCCCCGTAGCGCCCCGTCGCGCCCCTCCTGGGCCCCGTAGCGCCCCTCCTGGGCCTCGTCGCGCCCCTCCTGGGCTTCGTCACGTCCCTCCTGGGCCCTGTAACGCCCTCCCAGGCCCCGTCGCGCCCCCTCCCAGGCCCCGTCGCGCCCCTCCCAGGCCCTCTAGCGCCCCTCCTGGGCCCCGTCGCGCTCCTCCCAGGCCCCGTAGCGCCCCGTCGCGCCCCTCCTGGGCCCCGTAGCGCCCCTCCTGGGCCTCGTCGCGCCCCTCCTGGGCTTCGTAGCGCCCCTCCTGGGCCCCGTAACGCCCTCCCAGGCCCCGTCGCGCCCCTCCAAGGCCCCGTCGCGCTCCTCCCAGGCCCCCTAGCGCCCCTCCTGGGCCCCGTCGCGCTCCTCCCAGGCCCCGTAGCGCCCCTCCTGGGCTCTGTCGCGCCCCTCCTGGGCCCCGTCGCGCTCCTCCCAGGCCCCGTAGCGCCCCTCCTGGGCTCTGTCGCGCCCCTCCTGGGCTCCGTAGCGCCCCTACTGGGCCCCGTCGCGCCCCTCCTGGACACCGTAGCGCCCCTCCTGGGCCCCGTCGCGCCCTCCCTGGGCCCTGTAGCGCACCTCCTGGGCCCCGTCGCGCCCCTCCCAGGCCCCGTCGCGCCCCTGCCCGACCCCGTCGCCGCCGCCCGGCCCCGTCGCGCCCGCCCGGCCCTGTCGCACCCGCCCGGCCCCGTCGCGCCCGCCCGGTGCCGTCGCACCTGCCCGGCTCCGTCGCGCCCGCCCGGCCCCGTCGCAGCCGCCTGGCCTCGTCGCACCCTGCCTGGCCCCGTCGCAGCCGCCCGGCCCCGTCGCACCCGCCCGGCCCCCTCGCACCCTGCCCGGCCCCGTCGCAGCCGCCCGGCCCCGTCGCACCCGCCCGGCCGCCGTCCCGCTCGCCCGGCCCCGTCGCACCGGCCCGGCCCTGCCGCACTCACCCGGCCCCGTCGCCCCAGCCCGGCCCCGTCGCGCCCGCTCGGCCCCGTCGCCCCGTCCCGGCCCTGTCGCACCAGCCCGGCCCCGTCGCGCCCGCCCGGCCCCGTCGGGCCAGCCCCGGCCCCGTCCTCCTCACTGGTACGGTTCCCCCCCACCCCGCCCTGCTCCGTGCCGCCCCGCACCACACTGCCCTGCCTGGCACCGCACTACACCGCACTGCACCGCACTGCACCGCACTGCACCGCCCTGCACCGCACTGCACCTCGCTGTACCGCACTGCACCGCACTGCACCGCACTACCTTCGTGCCGCTCGTCCTCTCGTTCCTCGGGTCCTTGCCTCTCTCGTTACCGACCCGTCTGTTCCGGTCTCGTGCCTTGACGCTCTTGTCGCTGCTGTCGCTGACTTCGCCTCTACCCGCCGCCTTGACTACGCCACCGCTCTGGTCTCTGACCCTGCCTGTCCTCCGTCTGTCGGGGGTGCTCCTGCCCTTGGCAGTGACGTCCTGGAGGACTGCCAGTTCGAGCTTGCTTTCCTCTCCGAGGCTGCTCCCCATCTCTGTTCCATGCTGCTAGTCCCTGAGGGTGACCCCGACGCTTTCGACATCCCGACCCCTCGCACTTACGCTGAGGCGACTTCGGGACCCTGGGCCTCCCAGTGGATAGCTGCCATGGAGCAGGAGATGGCATCTTGGAGATCCACCGGCACCTTTGTCGACGCAGTTCCCCCACCTGGGGTGAACGTAGTCGATGGCCGCTGGCTCTTCAAGGTGAAGCGCCCTCCTGGAGAGCCGCCTGTCTTCAAGGCGCGCTATGTGGCTAGAGGCTTCAGTCAGCGCGAGGGGGTGGACTTCTTCCAGACTTTCGCTCCGACCCCGAAGATGACTACTCTTCGGGTTCTGTTACACCTAGCTGCTCAGCGTGACTACGAGCTTCACTCCCTCGACTTCTCCACTGCCTTCCTTCAGGGCAGCCTACACGAGCAGGTCTACCTGCGTCGCCCTCCGGGCTTTACTGGCACCTTCCCTCCTGGGACCCAGTGGCTCCTGCGGCGCCCCGTCTACGGCCTGCGCCAGGCTCCTCGTGAGTGGCACGACACTCTCCGTGCTACCCTTGCTGACCTGCAGTTCTTTCCGTCTTCCGCAGACCCTTCACTCTTCGTTCGTGCTGGCCAGACTCCGTTCTACATCCTTGTTTACGTCGACGACCTGGTCTTTGCCACAGCAGACAGGGACGCACTGGCCTCCGTGAAGGCAGAGCTGCTGAAGAGACACACCTGCACTGACCTTGGAGAACTGCGCCGTTACCTTGGCTTGCAGATCTCCAGGGACAGAGCTGCGCGCACCATCACCCTGACTCAGTCACACTTGGTGCGCTAGGTCCTTCAGAGGTTCAGCCTTCAGTTCTCCTCTGCACAGCCCACCCCTCTGCCTGTAGACCACAGACTCTCCGCTCCAGTACCTGAGGAGTTGGTAGAGCCCAGCGGCCCCTACGCAGAGCTGGTGGGTTGCCTCATGTACCTAATGACTTGCACTCGCCCAGATCTCGCATACCCTCTCAGCATCCTGGCGCGCTTTGTGGCCACAGGCAGACACCGACCGCAGCACTGGTCTGCCGCTAAGAGGGTTCTGCGTTATCTTGCTAGTACATCAGGCATGGGGTTAGTGCTTGGAGGACGCAGGCCAGTGGTCCTTACTGGACACACAGACGCTTCGTGGGCAGACGACGCTGAGACACTCAGGTCTACCCAGGGCTACTGCTTCAGCCTTGGCTCAGGTGCCGTCTCGTGGAGAGCTACCCGCTCTTCGTCTGTTGCGCAGTCCAGCTGTGAGGCTGAGATCTACGCTGGTGCCATGGCGGCACAGGAGCTCCGCTGGCTGACCTTCTTGCTCACTGACTTAGGTGAGCGGCCCAGCTCTGCCCCGGTCCTGTTCGCTGACAACAGGGCCATGATCCTCCTGTGTCAGGAGCCTCGACTCGAGGGCAGAGCGAAGCACATTCAGCTGCGGTACTTCCTCCTGCGTGAGCTACAGCAGAGACGTCAGGCTCGTGTAGTACACTTGGCCTCAGGTGCCAACACAGCTGATATCTTTACGAAGGCGCTTGCGCCTAAAGATCAGAGCGGGACTGTGTACAGCTTGGTCTAGTTCCTGTCGCCTCTCACTTGCTAGGACCTTGACTTGTACTGTCCTTTATATGTATACTCAGACTGGACTTGTGTCCTCTCCCAGTGGCTGGACTAGTAGTGCCGCCCTGCTCTTGTTCTTGCCTTGTCTGTACTCCTTCTGACTGGTCTCTCAGACCCTTGTCTCAGAGGTTGGACTAGTAGTGCCGCCCTGAGCTGCTTGTTTAGGGTATTCCCCTATGCAGTCTAGGGGGTGTGTCAAACATGTGTGTATTTGTCATGTTTGTATAGACTGTATAGGGTCACTTCTTAGAGGTATATTTGTGTGTACTCTCACTTTACCATAATTAAAATTCTAATTCTGATAGATAGGGGCAAAAAGTTGGACACGGCAGCGCGCAGGGGCGTAGGGCAGTGGTGCGAGGTGGCGAGTGGTTTTCGTCAACGAGCGAGCGTCGCAACACCATGCGCGACAAAAACACTCGTGACGAAACCTCATGAACCAATCAGGGTGCAAACAAACCGAGCACGCAAAACACCGCCAATATAAAAGGACAAAAGGGGAGGGTGGGACGGAAAAGGGAAAGGAGGGGCGCGCTAGGCACGGGAAGTTGGTTGGAGGGGTGGGGGGGGGGGGGGGGGGGAGGGTGGGGTGGGGGGGAAGGAGGGAGAGAGTGGGAGTGTGGGAGGGGTGATGAACAGCGAATAATAGGAAGGCACACGTAAGGACGTGGTGCTTTTGGCGAGATTTGGGCTGTGCAACTTGACCCTGCTGCGTAACTCGTGTGGGTAACTTGACTTGGCAATTTTCGCCAAACAACTTTGGGGTGGGGTGGCGCACGCATATCAACTGTTGTAAAGAACATTGGTGTTTTCTTGCCGCTCGCACGAAAAATGCAAATCGAAAAGCGAAACTAGATTTGGTGCGGGGAATCTAGTAACAAACAATTCGCTATCGTTTCAGGCACTTCGCAAACTGTGATTCCTGCGCTGCGCAAGTTGACCCAGTTTTTGCAGAAGTACCACGCCCTGAGGCGTGGTGGCGCTGGGCTGGGTTGCACATCAGAAGTCCCAAATTGTATGAGCGCATGTTTCAAGTTTCTTTCCGCTCAAACGCCTGGTGTATCGGGGGCAGGGGCGGAATTGGCTGGGGGTGGCGCACGCCTATCACATGTTTCCCGTCTTTTTGGTTCGCGATCTTAGTTTTCCCACTCGTTTTGCGAAACTGGGTTACCAAAGGGGCAGTTTCAAGATTAATAAACTTGAAAAACAATTTCTGCAATTTGGGTCAACGACTTTAAAGCGAGGCACGAAACCAAATCCAAAAGGTTTGGAATCGGGTTGGCGAAATCAGCGAAGCAGTAACACCGGGCCCCCAACACCCCTCACTACACCTCGCAATTTTCGCGACCCCCCGAACCAAAACCTTTGGGGTTGGTTTTCTGCTTCTTGAGATCCT